CTTGTAAAACAAGAAAAGTTTTATGCTCGAGAGTATGGTAAATCAGAAAAATTCATTTTTACATATGCATAGAGTGCTTAGTGATATTTACAAAAATTTCTTAGTGAAATTGTGTTTATTTGAATATTTTAACACTTAAATGTGCTGGCCCATGTTAGTTGCTTTTTCATGAGAGAGTGTACTGGTTCAAGGTCACTTCAAATGTGAGAGCTGAGCTAGAAAGCTCTTTTTTCTTCTATTTGTAATAATTGTTCAGTTAAAATAACAATAACACCTAAAGCCTTCCCTTTACTAACTTTTTTTGGAAGTATTTAGTTATATTCCCAATTTACATTTATGTACAATACAAAATGTCATAATGTTTAGAAGTAATCAAATTTTAGAAAATTATAGAATGCACTTGATTTATGTCAATCACATGGAGTTTGCCTTTTAAACAGCTGAATCAATTCAATTTAGTCATAAGCAGGGTTTAAGTGACAGGATCATAGATAATACTATTTTTCCCTTCTTTCTTGGGCAGGCATGGGAGATATGTACTTTAGTACTCTGCTGGTGTAAGGACAAAGTCAGAATAGTTCAGCAAAGGATTATGTAATTTATGCAATTACAGTAATATGTCCCTAAACTTAACATGGCAGAAACTTCAGAAATTGAAAAATATCAATTTTAAAAAGTAAGATATTATTGTTTGTTCATTTGGTTAGAGGCTTTCTGTTTGAATTAGTTATGGATTTCTGTTTGAATTAGTTACTGTTACTCTGTCCTAGAGCAATAGTCTATACCAGTGATTTTCAAATTGCAGGCCACAACCTATTCCTTAAATCCTGAAATAAATTTAATGGATAGTGACTAGTATTTTTAAATGACATAGAATACCCTGGAATGGAAAATATCAGAGTACATTGTTTATAGTAGGGGTAAACGTTTGTTTGTGAAACTTTTGTTTTGATTACATATATATGAATATGTGATTGTGTTGGAATATATATTTCTCACTATGAGTCATGTCCAAAAAAGTTTAAAACATTGTCCTGTTTA